TCAAGGCAGATATATACACAACTTAATGGAGTAGTGCATTCCTTTAAAAATAATTAAATGTATTTTATAGCATAAGTACCTGAATCCATACTCGTTTCAGCCTCCTGTCATCTGTTGCTCAGCAGCACACACAGCAGCCTGGAACAAGGAGGAGCATATCACCCTCTAACGGATGCACGTGTGCTGCCTGTGAACATGCTAACAGAAGAGAGCAGTTGAAGCAGAGTTGATGACTAAGGTCTCATGCACACAGGCACATATATGAGCATACAGAATAAAATATGCCTATATTTTTGGCACCCAGGAGCCCCTGCTGCTACCTTTTTCTGTCGATAGCATTGTATGGACAGAATGCGCTGTACGAAGGTTTATGCCTGTAAACACAAGTACCTGCATTTAAAACGCACATTGGCATAAGTTCCCGAATGTGAAAGTTTTGCGTTCAGGAACCTATACTCATGTGCACGTAAACTCTGGTACTTGCATTTACAGACATATACATACAGAGTATTGTCTCACTCAAAAAAATTATAGGTCTAAAGTAAGAGGCAAAGGTGCTGTCTGTGAAGGTATTTAGGGATGAACAGGTCCTTCAGGATAAAGCGGTGGTTGGGCTACACAATTTAGAAGCAAGGCACATCTGCCTTTCCAGTCTCTGAAGTTGGTTCACTCTGGAGTTAACTATTAACACAGATAAACAATAGGTGCCACCACATGTTTTAACAGAAACATGTACCGTTCCCAGTAAATGCTATGACAATTCTGGCCTGAAGCAATGCTCGTGATGCTTGCTGTCCCTTCAGACAGGAATATAACATGTTTTACAATTTGTTAGCACTCACTCAGAGACAAGGATTCTTTAAATTCTTATTTAGAGCACAGCGATAAAGCTTAAGGATTTGAATATATAATTTTATAAAAGTAAAGGAAAACAATGCAGAAAAATATACAGAATATATAGAAAAAAGACAAAAAACAGTAGGGATGCACAATCTGTCCAGCTAGATGCTTTGTTTACGCTTCTAGATGCCTAAAATGATGTGCATTCACATGCACATGCATGTATATGCATTTGTCCTTTGTCCATTGTTAGTGTTCTGCTAATAAATGTTATTGCAATCTTGTTAATGGCAACTAAGGTTGAACTGAAGCCCTTGTGAGGCATACAGACTTTCTGAACAAAAAAAATATTTAATCAGTAGGTTGTTCTAATCATGTCACAAAGTGGTGTATTTCAATAGAATTAGTGTGCAATAAGGTTTCCCGAGTTAGTTATTGTTTCTTTTACAGTAAAAAAGTGAATGCGACATAGAACGTCTCGAGGGGCATCATCTCTCGT